CTCTCTCCCTACCTTTCTCCCTCCCCCTCCCCCTCTCCCTTTCTCCCTCTCCTTCCTCCCACCTTTCTCCCTCTCTCCCTCTCTTCCTTCCTCTCTCCCTCTCCCTCTCCCTCTCTCCCTCTCTCCTTCCTCCCTCTCTCCCTCTCCTTCCTCCCTCTCTCCCTCTCCTTCCTCCCTCCCGCTCTCTCCCTCTCCTTCCTCCCTCTCTCCCTGTCCCTCTCCCCTTTATCCGCCTCCCTATCTTCTCTTTTAATTATGGACTTTTAACTGCCCATTTTCCGGATAATATAAATCAGGGTCAGAAGTACTATAACCCTCATCCATCACGATAGAAGAGAGAAGAGGAAAAAAACAGAGAAAAGAAGAAGAGAAGAGGAGAAGAAGAAAAGAAGAAGAGAGAGGGAGAGAGGAGGAGGAGAAGAAGAAGAAGAAGAAGAAGAAGAGGAGAGAGAAGAAGAAGAGGAGAGAGAGAGAAGAGGAGAAGAAGAAGAAGAAGAGAGGAGGAAGGAGAGGAGAGAGAAGAGAAGAAGAAAGAAGAAGAGAAGAAGAAGAAGAAGAGAGGGAGAGAAGAGAGAGAGGAGAGATCAGGGGAGGAGGAGGAACAGGTTTAAGATGAAGAGGAAGAGGGAAAAGGTGGAGGAAGAAAAAGAAAAGGAGAGACGAGGAAAAAAGAAAGAAAAAAAAGTCAAGAAAAAAATTAAACAGAAATGAAATTCAACACGGGAAAGATTTTCAAAACGTGAAGAAAAAATAAAAGAGGAAAAGAAAAAGAAGAAAAAAAAACAAGATAAGAAAAAGAAGAGAAAGAAAAAGAGATAAAGACAGAAAGGAGGACCCCCCCCCTCCCAAGACCCCAAACACGACCTCGAAAGCCGGCCCTGAAAGGTCACCCGGACGAGGTCGCCGAGACAAAGGTCGGGGTGGCTGGTCCTCGTCGGGAAGGAGAGAGAAAGACGAAAGAAAGAAAGAAAGACAGAAATACAGAGATAGATAGAGAGAGAGAGAAGAGAGGCGAGAGGAGAGAGAGAGAGAGAGAGAGAGAGAGAGAGAGAGAGAGAGAGAGAGAGAGAGAGAGAGAGAGAGAGAGAGAGAGAGAGAGGAGAGAGAGAGAGAGAGGGAGAGAGAGAGGGAGAGAGAGGAGAGAGGAGGGAGGAGGAAGAGAAGGAAGAAAGAGAAGACGAAAGAGAGGCAGACAGACAGAAATACGGAGATAGATAGAGAGAGAGATAGAGAGAGGGCGAGAGGGAGAGAGAGAGAGAAGTGATAGGCACAGACAATCAAAGACAAACAGATGGATACAAGCATAAAATAGAGACAAAAAAGAAAAAAATAACTCCAAAACAATACAACGAAAGCAAGCCAAAGCAAGCAGAAGCAAGCCAAAGCAAGAAGACGCAAGCGAAAGCAAGCAGAAGAAGGCAAGCAAGAAGAAGAGCAAGCGAAGCAAGCAGAAGCAAGCCAAAGTAAGCAAAAGCAAGCCAAAGCAAGCGCAAGGAGAGACAAGCAAGATCACACTTCAAGTCGTCCTCAAGACACGAAGGTCACGTATGCTCAAGAAGTCGAACTTCTCCAAGAATTCCGAGGGAGAAAACGCAAGCAGGATCAAACTCAATCAAGCAGGAGAAAACTCAATCAGTAGGAGACAACTCAAGCAGGATAAATGCAAGTAGGATCAAACTCAATCAAGCAGGAGAAAACAAGCAGAAAAACTTTAGACACTCAAGCAGGAGAACTTAGGCAGAGAGAACTCAAGCAGGAAGGCTCGTCCTTGAGACGCTGTGCTTGTTATCTTGACCTAACTGTTTTTCCTCTCACGTTCTGCGTCTGGCTGCCTGTTTGTACGGTTTTCTTTTATTTTCCCCTCACGTTCTCCTCCTCTCTTGCTATTTGTCTGTCTCTCTGTTTGTTTCTACCTTTTCCTTTCTTTTCTTATCTATTTCTGTCTTCTTTTTTCTTTTTTTCCTCGTTCTTTCTTTCCCTTTTTTCTTTCTTTTTCTTTCTTTTACTTTCCTTATCTTTCTCTTATCCTTTTCCTTTCCTTTTCTCCCCTCTCCCTCTCTCTCTCTCTCTTTCTTTTTCTTTCCCTCCTTCCCTCCCCCGTCCTCTCTTTTCCTCAACCCACCCTCCTCTCTCTTTCTCTCTCTCTCCCTCCTCTCCCCTCTCCCTCTCCCTCTCCCCCTCTCCCTCTCTCCCTCTCCTCTCCCTCTCCCTCTCCCTCTCCCTCTCCCTCTCCCTCCCTCCCTCTCCCTCTCCCTCTCCTCCCTTTCCCTCACTCCCTCTCCTCCCTCCTCTCCCTCATTCTCTCCCTTTCCCTCTCCTTCTTCTTTTCCTTCTCTCATCAGCTCCTATTTTCGCTTCCACTCCCTCCCAACCTTCCTTCACCCTCTCTTCTTGTCTGAATCCTTTAATCTTGTGAGGAGCATTTTTGGCATTTGGGAATTCCTTTTGAACCGTCAGTGATTTTGTCTTCATGTCTATTTTTCTTTTTCTTCCAATTCTC